ACAGCCCAAAATCAGCTACTAATAGTTCCCATTAACAGCTAGTCATTTGCCTCAGCTAGTCTTTATTCAATCTTCTGTCTGTCAAACTGTTTTTCTCTCTCTTTGGGCTCTATCTCCACTTATCATTTACTCCTCCCCTCACCCTATCTTCTACATAAAAACATCTTTCTCCTGGCTACAATCAGATCTGAAGAAGGGTCACTAGCACCCAAAATGTTAGCTCTGAGTTCTCTCTACAGATGCTGCCAGACCTGCTGAGAATTTCCAGCAATATTTGTTTTCGTTACTTATAGACTTGCAGAATGTAGCAACGTTACAATGCAGCAGCATTGCTATTCTGCAGACTTGAAAGATTTTAAGGAAAGGAACATAAAACTGCTTGCCGTCAGTGGCTTTAAAAGTCTTTTAATCAAAAAGGATAATGAAAATTTGAGAAAACACAGCACTGAAAATCTTCAAAAAATGTTAAATCACCACATTCAGAAGAAATGGCAGCAGAAATAACATTGTCATAAAGATTTGCTTTCAGATATGGGCTAAATAGAATGTAAGAACCAGACATGTTGGAGAAACCAGTTCCTAAGGTAGTGAATTTCTTCCATAGTAGACACTAAATCTGCAGCTGAGCAAGTAAATGTGCTTTTTTATGTTAATCAGGACTAGTGCTCTTGATGTTAGAGCTCACCCAGGCGTAAAAGAAGATGCACATACCTTTGATATACTACAATCTTTTGACAATTACTTCAGCCTTGGAACAAATAATATTTTTGAAAGAGCAAGAATTAACAGGAGAGTTCAGCGTAGAAAGGAATACATAGATAATTTCATTAATAATTTCAAAATTAGTGGAAAAATGTGACTATGGAGCTTTGAATTCAGAATTCCTCAGAGGTAGAATTGTTGTTGCAGTTGTTGCAATTGCTGAAGAGTCTGTCAGATTCATTACAGTCCAAGCAATTTGATTTTGGGGAAATCAACTAAAATGGTGTGAAGTGAGAGCTCGAAAGCCACATGGAACAGTCAAAGGAGTGAAAGATAAATCTTATCCTAGGAGATATGCAGAATCCATTCATGCCATAAAGTAGAAAAGCTTAAAAGATACAATTGAGAATACATTACAGAGTCTAGACCAGACAGCAGGCACTAAGAGTTAATGCCAATACTGTAGAATTAGGAAAACTTGCAAGCACAAGCAGAGTCCATCAAATTTAAAAATGCAATTTTTAAATTAATCATTAGATGACTTCCAGACAACGTACAGAAATAGGACACAGTTGCAGTGCAGCACAAAATCAGTTAGGAATAAGGAAGATTGTGCTGGTCATCAAACCCCACTGGTCCACAAACCATACTAAAGTGTAACTTAGTTTTCATCATCAAGATGGTCAAATTATTTCTATTTTACATACTATCTAGAGTAAAATAAATTTCCACCAGGCCTCTGTAAGAAACTCAAAAGTAACTTGTTTACTGGAAGCAAACTTATTCTTAAAGTAAGTGACAAAACTGGTAAGCATCAAAGCTCCTATGAGAACTAAACTACATTCCCTTAATCCCAAACACAGTCACATGCCAGATAAGACAATACAACACTGCAGAGATTACACAGGTTTTAAAAAAGATGAAAGGTGAGCTTTTTGACTTGCTTGCCGAGCTGGCTTGTTTTTGTTCAGGCGTTTAGTCACCATGCTAGGTAACATCATCAGTGAGGCCTCCGATGAAGCGATGTTGTTCTACTCTGCTTGGAATTTATAATGTCTGGTCTGTTATGGTGAGTAGTGTCATTTCCGGTTTTGATCTGTATGGGTTTGTATATGGGGTCCAATTCTATATGTTTGTTGATTGCATTACGGGTTGAGAACCATGCCTCTAGGAATTCCCGTGCGTGTCTATGTTTGGTTTGGGTTACCATAGTTACGTTGTCCTAGTTAAACTGACGGCCTTCATTGTCCGAGTTAGTGTCCCATTAACTGGGACAATGTAACCATAGTCGCCCAAGCCAAAAATTGACACGCTCGGGAATTCCTAGAGGCATGGTTCTCAACCCATAATACAAACAACAAACATATAGAATTGGACCCCATATATAAACTCATACAGATCAAAACCGGAAATGACACTACTCGCTGTAACAGACTAGACAGTATAAAATCCAAGCAGAGTAGAACAACATCGCTTCATTGGCGGCCTCACTGATGATGTTACCTAGCATGGAGATGTACCGAGCAAGTCAACAACCTCACCCACAACCCGAGCTACAAATCTTTGCTAAAACTTTAAAGCTGAAAGTTGAACAACACTGCATTGGACTAAGAGTTCAAATGCAAATTAGAAGATTGGAAGACTTTTTGGTCTCGTTAATTTCCTCGTGACAAGATCAAAATACTGGCAGCTGGAAAGGAGGTGAGATCTTCAAATCAGAGTTGAGTTCAGATGGGAATTATTTAGAAATTCTGATACTTAACTTAATTGGGTCCCCACAACATTTCAGTCAAGACAGAGATCCATGCAGCTGGTTGTGCTTTAGGGTATGTTGTTTCCTTCTCAGGAGAGTCAGGGTCTGGACTTTTCTACCTTGGAAGTCTTTCTTCAAATAACCCCGTCACTATACTGGAAAAACTGCAACTCCAGTCCAGAGGCTGTAGTTAACAACCTTTAACACCTGGACCTCTTCCAACCTAGCCGGTCCTGCAATTAAAGTAATTCAACACATATCTTATCTCTCCTTAAAGTTTTGCTTGCCTTCTTTCCTCAAAATCATTTGATGTTTTGTAAATAGTAGGTGAACCACAGCGCACTTTTCTTTCTTTTGACTTTTCAGATCCAAGAAGTCATATGGTCAACCCACTCCAATTTTGAAATTGTCCGAACATTTTCATTGCTTCCAGCATCGTTTGCATTGTTATTTTTAAGGACTGTGTATTCCCAACACTGGACAAAGCTGGCCTGATAAATCCCGACCTAAAAAAAGGATGAAGGCAACAAATTTACCCTACGGTGATTGACAGTACTGCCGGCTCATAAAAAGTGGTGGTCAATTAAATATTTAAGTTCAGTGTGATTAATGCCAAAATGGCCCCCACACATGTGCAGACATGGCCCAGGACATCCGCTGGCAGTGACAGGCACAGAAAGTGTCTGTAAGCACGTGATTTGCTGATGGCACCAGATTGAGGGTCAGGAGAAGGCAGATGAGTTGTTTGAGGCTGATGAACTGGAGCATCCCTCTCCAGCATTGTCTGTAGATTGGCCTCCTCGGCTGTCACTCCTTTTCTGTGATCTCTCTGCCACCCAACCCTCACCAAGTTCCATGCTCCCTGGCGATGGGCCCTTCATTGAGCAAGGAGGCTGTTCCTGAGGCCCGGGACTGCTGCTGTACCTGTTTCCTTTCCACTGCTCAACTGCACATGTGCAGATGGGGCTGGTAACATGCTTCCAACACGTGTGCACTTCGTGCTCTGTGTGCTGATGGTGGTGGTGGTGTTCACAACAAATGCAGCCATTTAAGTTGGCTCCACCATTATGTCACTGGCCAATAAATGTATTGGGCACAGACTTTCATTTTCATTAGCTGTCTCTCTGGCTTGCTGAAATGGGGTCTCTTCAGATCAAAGCTTGCTACTTTTTGCTCGGACCGGGCAGTTTGGAGGGCAGCACCAGGCCTGTCTCTGAGATAAGTCCCCAGGGGCAGAAGTCCCAATCAGTGAGAACTGCTGATTAATCAGAGGTCAGAAGTTCTTGCTGAGGTCAGTACCATTAAATGACTACTGCCAAGACCGAGAGGACCAAGGTGTCGTGTATATGCATTCTCCTGATTGTGCGTGAATCAGTTTGCTCTGTGGACCCACGGTTTCTGGTATTGAACTTGAAGGTGAGATCATTACAGCCCAGGCCAGAACAGCCCCTGGAGTGGTCATGAACTGGTGACGGGGCAGGAGTGTGAAGCTTGGACCTTCCCAGCAGAAATTAATTCAGGTGGAGGCAGGAAGGCAGCAGGATTTTGAGATGCCAGCACACTATTAATGAACAGCCTTTCCCGCCTCCAAGCCTGCCACCTCCATGACTAGAAGATTCCACCCATTGACACAAATTCAAATTCTGATCACCACCTCGAGACACTCCATTCTCCAGATTCCTGCTTGAATTTGTGCATTGTATCTCAATCCAGTTCTAACTCAGATACCTGTTTCACACTCTGGACAAATTTTAATGCCCACCCAGCAGGTTGACTCTCTAACTAAAAATCTCCAACCATCTTTAAATGGCACTATGAGAACGTTGAATAACAGTAAAATTATAATGGTAGAGAATGGTTGAAAATTCATGTTCTCATCTCATCATTGATATGACATTTCATCTTGTTACTACTCCAATCCATAAACTGTAATGGCACTGGAGGGGGTGCAAAGGAGGTTCACTAGGTTGATCCCGGAGTTGAGGGGGTTGGCTTATGAGGAGAGACTGAGTAGATTGGGATTATATTCATTGGAATTCAGAAGATTGAGGGGGGATCTTATAGAAACATATAAAATTATGAAGGGAATAGATAAGATAGAAGTAGAGAGGATGTTTCCACTGGCAGGTGAAGCTAGGACTAGAGGGCATAGCCTCAAGATTAGAGGGAGCAGATTTAGGACTGAATTGAGAAGGAACTTCTTCACCCAGAGGGTTGTTAATCTATGGAATTCCTTGCCCAGTGGAGTAGTTGACGCTACTTCAGTAAATGTTTTTAAAGATAAGGTAGATATTTTTTTGAACAATAAAGGAATTAAGGGATACGGTAAGAACGCGGGTAAGTGGATCTGAATCCACGAAAAGATCAGCCATGATCTTATTGAATGGCGGAGCAAGCTCGAAGGGCCGGACGGCCTGCTCCTGCTCCTAGCTCTTATGTTCTTATGTAATTCTGATTTTTTTTTCATTGAGAAGCCAAGTGTGATTGGACTTTCCAATAGTTGAAAGCAAATTCTTAATTATGTTTGATATTCTTTGCATTGCAGATAATAATCTTGGATATTGTGGTGACCCAGGACTCCCAGCACATGGCATTCGCTTGGGCAAGGATTTCCGAGTGAAGGACATACTTCGATTCACATGTGAAGCTGGTTATGTTCTTAAAGGATCTTCGGAACGTGTCTGCCAACCAGATGGAACCTGGACTGGGATCCAGCCAGAATGTAAAGGTACGTGATTCACTGGGATCTAGAACAAGGCAGCTAAGGAACTTGCAGAGAATATCATGCAAAAAGAATAGCTCTTATCAGTTTTTGAGCAAATGGTGCATGCTTGACAAGTTTTCATTTAGCTATTTAACAATTAGCCAAGCTTTTCTTGCATTGCATGCTACATAAAGTTATTAGTTGCCCTGCCAATTATCTTGAAAATCAGTTAAGTTAATCAATTTTTCTGAAGAAGGGTCCAGACCCGAAACATCAGTTTTCCTGCTCCTCTGATGTTGCTTGGCCTGCTGTGTTCATCCAGCTCTACACCTTATTATCTAAGTTAACCAATAATTTATGTACAACAGTACAACCTCTTGCTGTCACTAATCAAATGCGAACCAGTGCATCTGTAACAAGAGGTTAATGCTGTGGATACGATTTATTTTCTGAATTTATAGTTAACTTGCATTGAACATGGGGTTCAGTATTTATGAACATTAATGAATGAAAATGTAACAAACTGAATCAGCATGCAGGTTCTGTATATCTTTTTTTTTTAGGTAATCCATTAGTAAAATAATGAAATGTTTTAAAAAGTCCACTCAAACTTCTGCAAGCTAGGATTTACCTTTTAGCAGAATCTTGTTGTGAGACTATTTGCACTATTATTGTCGACGAGTTTATAAAAGGATAGTTTAAGAGAGTTTGATCAGCGATAATGTTTAAAAGGGATTAATTAAAGATTTAGCGAAAAGGATTGATTAAATTATATCTTTAATCAATCCCTCTTTAACAAATCTATAAAGAAAAACTGATTAAAAATATGGATGAAGGGGGACTGATTAAAGTGTGGTTAGGAAGGGGCTGATGACCAAAGAATGGCTCATTAAAAGGATGGTTGCAGAGTAACTGATTAAAATGGTGATCTCAGTATAATGAATTAATGTGAAGCCTGGTCCTGTAATCTGGTTATTTATTGTTTGAGACATTACCAGTCTCAATAGAAGAGATAAACTGGAAGATTGCCTGCCGCAGATTTGATGCTAAATTTCATTTCACCTCAAGTATGAAAATAATGGGCGACGGAGATTACCTGAACTCGAATGGACCTCTTCAGAGATTATGGTGTTGAATAAGGTTTTCAGATTTCACATTTCATCTATCTCTCTTTGCCACCAGCATTTTCATCAAAGGAGAGGTGACAATTGCCTCTTTTCCCTCTCACTCTGAATATTATGAATACATCTTCAGTGAAACTGCAAAGGAATTTGTATTAGCCTTTCCGAGATGGTTTTAAATCGACTGTGTAGCGAATTGTCTGAAACATATGTGAATGTGTTAGTATTACAATAAAAGTACACTAGTTTGTGCACTGAGCATCTGTTTTATTGTAATCAGAAGTGTTGTAATAGGGTTCTGGTTTGCAGTCATTTATTTCCTGATCTTTAAGTGGTTCAAATTGCTCCCAGACCCCTGGTTCTGGATACTGGACTTATTTATGAAGATGTAAAATTAAGAGGCAGCAGACAGTTGTTTAATGGCAAAAGAATCTCTGCATTTATTTAAGGTACAAAAGGTAATTATATTACAAGAAATAGGTAATGCAATAAGTCAAGGAAATTGCCACAATCGATGCACAAGAGAATAGTAGGACTTTGGAATACATATTACTTAGATTACCGCTATATACAGTTTTAATGACACATAGAAAATAAACAGTGTTTAAATTTATAGTGTTCAGCAGAATTCCTACCAAATAGAGACAACATTGTATGGAGCTGGAGGAACTTCGGAGGCCAGGCAGCATCAGAGGAGCAGGAAATTTGATGTTTTGGGTCGGCACCCTCCTTCAGAAATGGGGGAGGGGGCAGGGAGTTGGGAAATAAATACGAAGAGGAGGGGTGGGGCTGGGGAAGGTAGGTGGGATGGTGGTAGGTGAATGCAGGTAGAGAGTGGTGGGGGTTGGTCATTAAGGTCGGAGAGGCGGAGAGGTGGGAGAGAAGTTGGACAGGTTGTGTCAGGTCAAGGAAGCAGGGATGAGAGGGAGGGTTGGATATGGGATGAGGCCGGGTGTGGGAAGATTTTAAAACTGGAGAATTCCATGTTTAGGCCTTCGGGCTGTAGCTCCCGAGGTGGAATATGAGGTGCTGCTCCTCCAGTTTGCGGTGTCATTTGACACTGGAGGAGGCCCAGGATGCACATGTCACTCAGGAAGTGAGACGGGGAGTTAAAATGGTTCGTGACCGGGCGGTGTTCTGGTTTGTCGCGTGCAGAGCACAGATGCTCTCCAAAACAGTCTCTGAGTCTACGCTTGGTCTCACCGATGTAGAAGAGGCTACATCGGGAGCAATGGATGCAGTAGACCAAGTTGACAGATGTGCAGGTGAACCCCTGTCTGACATGGAAGGCTTGTTTTGTGCCCTGAATTGAGGTGAGGGGGAAGGTGTAGGGGCCGGTGTAGCACTTCCTGCGGTTGCAGGGAAAGGTGCTGGGGGTGGTGGGGTTAGCGGGGACTGTGGAGCGGATGAGGGAGTCATGGAGATAGCAGTCCCTATGAAAGGCAGATAGGGATGCGGAGGGAAATATCTGTTTGGTTGGGGTTGGATTGCAGGTGGCAGAAGTGGCAGAGAATGATATGTTGAATACAGAGGTTAGTGGGGCGATATGTGAGGACAAGGAGGATGTGAGGGCAGAGATGCAGGAAACACAAGAGATGCGGTTGAGGGCATTTTCAATCACCGGAGGGGGCAAATTACAGGCCTTGAAATAGGAGGACATCTGGGATGTGCGGGAGTGGAACATCCCATCTTGGGAGCAAACGTGGCGGAGGCGGAGGAATTGGGAGTATTCTGGGGATCGCATTCTTGCAGGAAGGTGGGTGAGAGGAGGAGTAGTCCAGGTATCTGTGGGAGTCGGTGGGCTTGAAATAGATGTGGTTGAGGTGGTCACCAGAGATGAAGACGGAAAGGTCCAGGAAGGGGAGGGAGGTATTGGAGATGGCTCGGGTGAATTTGAGGTTGGGGTGAAAGGTGTTAGTAAAGTTGATGAACTGTCCAAGCTCCTCGTGGGAGCATGAGGCAGCATCGATACTGTCATCGAAGTAATGGAGGAAGTAGTGGGGAATAGTGCCAGTGTAACAGCAGAAAAGAGACTATTCCACATATCCTACGAGGAGGCTTCTGACTTTATTTTTGTTGGGAGGAGGGGATGTGAGGGGAGAATTACAGGAAATGCAAGAGATGCTGATTTCTCCGCCACTTCAGCCGCCTACAATCTGACCCCACAACCAAAGAGATCCCCCTTGTCCTCACATACCACCCCACCAACCTCTGCATCCAACGTGTCATTCTCCGCCACTTCCGCCACATACAATCCGACCCCACAGCCAAAGAAATATTTCCCTCCCCACTCCTATCTGCCTTTCATAGGGAGCACTCACTCTGCGACTCCCTCGTCCGCTCCACACTCCCCACTAACCCCACGACCCCCGGCACCTTTCCCTGCAACTGCAGGAGGTACTACACCTGCTCCTACACCTCCCCCCTCGCCTCCATTCAGGGCACAAAACACATCTTCTGTATTGGACAGGGGTTTGCCTGCGCATCAACTTGGTCTACTGTATCTGCTGCTCCTGATGCGGCCTCTTCTATATCGGTGAAACCAAGCGTAGACTCAGGGACCATTTTGGGGAGCAGCTGCAACAAATGACAACACCTTTTGGTTGCCAACTATTTTAACTCCCCCTCCCACTCCCTGGGTGACATATGCATCCTGGGCCTCCTCCAGTGTCACAATGACACCACCTGCAAACTGGAGGAGCAGCACCTCATATTCCACCTTGGGAGCCTACAGCCCGATGGCCTAAACATGGAATTCACCAGTTTTAAAATCTCCTCACCCCCAGCTTCATCCCATGTTCAAGCCTCTCTCTCATCCCCACCTTCTTGACCTGACACAACCTGTCCATCTTCTCAACAACAAAAACAAAGTTGCTGGAAAAGCTCAGCAAGTCTGGCAGCATCTGTGAAGGAGAAAACAGAGTTAACGTTTCGCGTCCAGTCACCCTTCCTCAGAACTCTGTCCATCTTCTCTCCCAACTATCCGCGACTCCCACCACACTGACCAATCCCCACCACTCCCTACCTGCACTCACCTATCACCATCCCACCTACCTTTCCCAGCCCCACCCCTCCGCACTCTGTTTATTTCTCAACTCCCTTCCCTCTCCCCATTTCTGAAGATGGGTGCCAACCTGAAACATAAACTTTCCTGCTCCTCTGATGCTGCCTGGCCTGCTGTGTTCCTCCAGCTCCACACTGTGTTGTCTTTGATTCCTGTATCTACAGTTCTGGCTATTCCTACCAAATACAGTCCAAATGCACTGATGCCACCGCTAAATATGTTGGAACTCTGGGGTCTCAGGAATTCTGCTGACCACTCAGCATACGGTTTTGAAGTTTGCCTGGCTGTCCTGGCTTCCCATAACCAGAGCATCAGGTTGTTGCTTTGAGTTGTCAGGTTTTAGTTCTGATGGTCGTGGTCGGTTGTTTAGGTTATTACCATTGGTGTTCTTGGTTCAGGAAAGGCCTGTGTTCAGAAGCTCTTGGTTGGCCACCCCCCTCTCAATGTCTTTTGTTTCGAAGAGGCCCTTGGTTCAGCTTCTCTGTTGTCAGTTCTGTTCTTGGTTCTGAAGCTGCTTGTGCTGGTGGGAGCAGGGGATGCCTGTGGGGAAGCTGTTCGTGCAGAAGCTTGTTGTTGGAAAAGGCCAATCTCCAGTGAGATCGAGGCTGGAGGAACAGCACCTCATATTCTGCCTGGGAGCCCTGCAGCCCAATAGTCTCAATGTGGACTTTACAAGCTTCAAAATCTCCCCATCCCCGACTTCATCCCAAAACCAGCCTCTCCCCTGCCTCCTTGACCTGTCCGTCTTTTCTCCCACCTTTCCGCTCCTCCCACCTCACCGACCGACCCCCACCCCCACCTCCTACCTACTAGCCTCATCCCCGCCTCCTCGACCTGTT